GAATACGACATGGCTGGTAAATGAGAATTTTGTTACACCTTACGTGACAGTATCAGACATGTCATACATCACGACTGGGTAATGCTAATGCCGGCGGTACCGTAACTTTCAATCCTCATAACTCGAAAAGTACTGATTAAAAAAACGTTTCATTATAGCGTTTTGGAAAGCTCTCGAGGTAAGCTACAAGAATATGCATTGAAAAATGGGGGTTTCCATTTAAGAAATTAAAGGTGACCTTCACGTGATCTTCAAACGACTATCCAAGATCAAACTAATGACACCATCTTATGTGCCCCTCGAAGTCACAAAGCTTTTGTCTGAAACATTTTTCTTCAAAATGTCGCGTTTACGAAAAAATCAGGTGAGACGGGTGGTCTGGGACATCCTGTATATGGGTTTTATAACGTCTTTCGACGTTGTCTGATCCTCATACACATATAATTGCGGTGCACACGTAGATTATACCAGCTATATGGGACCTACAGTTTTAACTCCGATCTCGAACGGCAATTTGCGTGAGGCTATTGGCAGAGATACTCTTGATAGATTGCCAGTCCATCGAAGAGGAGACACGAGCCTATGAAAATATTTTTGTTCCACCGAGAAGCGAATCGCCGGGAACTCCAGTACAACAGACCAGTGCGCTATCTGTTACGCCACGCTCGCGCTCGTAGAGCCATTATTTCGTTTTCAAAAAGTTTATTTTTGCTATAAGAACCTACTGAACATTTTTAAGTTGTTTTATTAATACTTTATATTACATTTTTATCCTTACAAATTCCTTTCCACGATTTAATTATTGAATGTTTGCATACAAAGTGCGGCCAATGAATACAAATTTTATTCTATATTTTCGAATAATTTTTACATTTAGAATAATTTTCTTGTATATAGAATATTCGTGTTCGGCCGAGGGTTAGCCAAATTCTTCTTTACTCGACAAATTTTTAACCTCAATTTTCTCGAAAACGAAGGTTCAATATAATATATAATATAATTTTATTCCAATTAATTTGTTTCCTGCTCTTACAATTCTGAAAATGTAAATATTATATATGGTTACCTCTCAGCTACAGTCATAAATCGATGTCATTTTGATTTTGTCTGATAGCTAAAGACAACAAAAATAAAATGATTAGCTATCAATTTGTCAATTTGTATTGCTAAATACAAACAATCAACATAAATTTTCTATTTATTTATTACTTTCCTTAGAAAATAGGTTACGATTTACGTTATAATGATTGATTTTTTCTCAGTTTCTTTTAAAATGTATTGCTTAACAAAGTACAATATTAATATAGAATATAGTATTAGTATACTTAAGTGATATACAATATTCCTTATACAATATTTCTTATTGTTTATACTACTTTCTATACAAAGTAAAATGAAGACTCAAAAAATAATATATAATATTTATTTTTTACATTTATATATATAGACAGTACAAATATACTAGGTTGGATCAAATATAAATGAACAAAATTTTGCAAAATTTGCAAAATGACCATATATTTTTTAAAATTAATTCTAATTTATATTTTTCTCATTTTTCGACGTAGTCCCCCATCTTATCTATACACTTACTCCAACGGTCTAATAATTTTTTAATCCCGGTATCATAAAAAGTTGGCAGACGTGTATCAAACCAATTGCACACGAACTGCTGCACCTCTTCGTTCGTTGTGAAGCGCTGTCCATCAAGGGCTTCCTTGAGTGGCCCAAGCATATGGAAGTCGCATGGTAACACGTCTGGGCTGTAGGGTGGATGTTCTAGAACAGCCCAGTGCATATCGGCCAATTTTTGTTGTGTTACTGCTGCGGTGTGGGGTTGTCATGGAGAAGCAACATACTTTTGATCGGAATGCCACGCCTTTTAGACCAATAGGCAGCTCGAACTGAAGTTCCTGAGAGATTTCAAGAACAGTTAAGGGCCGATTGCCTTCGATGAGTTCTCAAACAGCCTAGGTGTTCTGTGTTGTGATGCTAGTGCGTGGACGGCGCGGGTGGGCAATGTTTTCAACACGCTCCCGTCCATTCTAAAATTCGTTACACCACTGCTTCACCCGAGCCCATGAAAGGGTTCTTTCCCCGAACTGTGGGAGTAAACGGCGCCGAATTTCAGCAACATTTACATTTTCGTTGACGAGAAACTTAATAATACGTTGTGCAACTGTAGGGTGCACTTCTTTCTCGCTCATAGTGATAGCTGCTGAGAATAAGAAGCACGTGGCGCGCCAATGTTATTACTACCTTCCACATGACCCCCCTCTACTGTCCGAAAACGTTGCTGACCCCTCACACCGCCGACGGGCGCGTAATTTAAAAAAGCTCGTTTATATTTGATCTACCCTCGTATTTGAATGTTAAAAGTCATTGTGCGTTAACTAATATATAATAGCATTTCTCTTATCGTTGCCTTCTGTTCTTGTAGCATTGTATCTTATAGTTTCAGAGTGTTGTATATCAGGTTCATTAATAATTATAGGAATATAAATTATGTAATTTTTCTATATACAGATGTTACGTAAGGTATAACATGAAATTATCATGAATATAAGAATATAAGGATAGAGCGTAAATTGAATTTATACGCAAGGAGGGTGAAACCGATTTGAGAGACAAAGCATCTCTAAAACTGTGCCTGGATTTGATTGGGTTGTACTCAGGCATAATACCGCTAATTATAAAAGAAGTAATAAGAATATGAACATATAATTCAGAATAATACATGAAAAATTAATAACATAGTGGGTAGAAGGTGATTAAATACGTAAAAAAAGAATAACATTTTTTTGTTTGAACCTTCGTTTTTGAGAAAATTGAGGTTAAAAATTTATCGAGTAAAGAAGAATTTGGCTAACCTTCGGCCGAACACGAATATTCTATATACGATTCTATATACGAGAAAATTATTCTAAATGTAAAAATTTGTTGAAAATATAGAATAAAATTTGTGTTCATTGGCCGTACTTTGTATGTAAACATTCAATAATTAAATCATGGAAAGGAATTTGTAAGGAGAAAAATGTAATATAAAGTATTAATAAAACAATTTAAATAATGGAAAAAATAGACGGTTTTTGGTTCATACTTAATGAACAGAAGTTCTCAAATCGACGCATTAGCCATCTTTAAGATATCTTTAAGAGTTTTTAGAAAATGTCATGATAATCTTTCTTAAAGAACTGTTAAAGATATCTTAACCACTTGCGCTGGAAAGACGTGCTACGCATGTCGTTATGCTTTTGTCGCAAAATCGCCAACGACGTGGTATATACGTCGTCAGGCAATTGTCACAGAAACAAAAACGACGTGCGTGGCACGTCGGCTGAAATTCTTTGCCAGAGCACTGATTCTCATTGCACTGCATAGCGTACTGTTGTCAATATATAACCTATATTCTAAAATGAAAAGCGATAGTGAAGTTAACGATATTATTTCGACAAGTAGAAAAAGGAAACAAGATAATGGTGAGAGTAATAGTGATTTCGATGAAATTGTTTTTCCACTTCGAAATCGGCGTAGAATATTATCTGATTCCGCGTTAGTGTAGAATGTGTGCCAAACACAAAAAACGCAGTGAAACTACATGGGAATGTAAAAAATGCCTTGTTCCATTACATGTTTTAGACTGTTTTGAGATATACCACACTGCATGATTATTAATAAACAAATTTACTATTTATATTTATGTAATTTTATCCTCAATCGATGCGTTATATTCCCTTCAAAGAACTATTGGAAGTCCTAGGTCGAAAATAAATTAGTTTAGAAGATATAAGTCTTTCTCCGATTTCTCTAAGGCATCGAACACTGTATGACGCCCCCCAGCGAGTTACACTGGACCGTTCTGGCACACGTGTCTGTGAATTTCTTGCCAGCGCAAGTGGTTAAAAATGGTAAATGCGTCGATTTGCAAACTTCTGCTCATTGGGTAAATATATTATGAAATAACATACATGAAATAAATAAAAAAATTTATACAACAAAAATATATATACGAGGTCTGTTCAAAAAGTATCGCGAATTTTGAATTTCCGCGGGTTACGTATATTCGATTTTCGATTTTTTTGTGGCGTTATGTTGGTACTCATGTCCCTCACTTATGCCGACAAATTCGGCCATTTTAAATATTCAGTTTATCTTTGACAGCTGTTTTGCTTGGACGTGTTTTGGCTCGTCTTCGATTTTTGCCTATTCCAAAAATGGATCAAAGAATCTGTATCAAATTTTGTATGAAAAACAAAATTAAGTGCGCGGATGCATTCCGAATGTTGACTGTGGCATATGGTGAAGCTACCTTGGATCGAAGCAACGTTTATCGGTGGTACAAAATGTTCTCAGAGGGCCGAGAAGATGTGAACGACGAAGAGCGTGCCGGACGCCCGAGCACGTCAACAACAGACGAAAACATTGATGAAGTGAAGAAAATAGTATTGGCCAATCGTCGAATCACCGTTAGAGAAGTTGCTGAGGACCTAAACATATCGATTGGCTCGTGCCATTCGATTTTTACTAATGATTTGGGCATGAGACGGGTCGCCGCGAAATTCGTACCAACGCCCCTGCTCACACATCGTTGCTTGTGCGCGAATTTTTGGCCAAAAACAACACACTAATGATGCCGCAGCCACCGTATTCCCCAGACCTGGCCCCCTGTGACTTTTTCTTGCTCCCGAAACTGAAGAGGCACATGAAAGGACGATGCTACGCTACGATTGAGGAGATAAAGACGGCATCGAAGGAGGAGCTGAACAAGAACACAAAAAATAATTTTTTGAAGTGCTTCGAGAATTGGAAAAAACGTTGGCACAAGTGTATAATATCTGATGGGGATTACTTTGAAGGAGACAAAATAGATATTCATGAATCAATAAATAATTTTTGAAAAATCACAAAATTCGCGATACTTTTTGAACAGACCTCGTATTTATGTACGTAAATTTATACATATATATATAATAGCATACGTGAAGATAATATATATAACAATTTGAAACACACATACATAATTAAATATATATATTAATTACTTTTAAATAATATTAACTTATTTAAAAACTGTCCATTGCTGTTCGATTTATCTTTTATAGTAGCCGCATAATGGTGCAATATAATTTTAACATATTTTTGAGATATGGTTTGCAATAAATGTATTGCATGATTTTCCATTATCATTTGATGACATGTATGATTTTCGAGATATTTAAATATATCAGTATTTGAAAAATATTCTAGTACGGCAAAACAAATATCATTTGCGTTTCATGGTATGTTAGAATTAACAGCGCAATACAATATTTTCTCGCATTGTTGGCCTATGCGTATAACATCTACTGAAGGTTGTACTAAACCTACAAAACTTTTGGTAGAAACTAAATTATTTTTAGTACTATTAATTCCTATCAATGCATCTTTGCACGGTTCGTAGAATAAAATTGTTTGCAGTTGCATGAGAATATATCCTGCAATATATTCAATTACATATTCAGAATATTCTGTAATCTGCGTTGGGCAGTACATATAGTCATGGACGGTATTAAAATTATATATTTGATTCAACATTATCATTAAGGGATGTTGCCTCACTATATAATTTATGTAAACGGCAATTTTTGTTAATAACATTAATTCTGTGTTTTGCCGGCAGATGATACGTGTAATATAGCAATTTCTTCTAATAAGATACAATTAGCGGTATTATCATTCTTTATATCGACGTCCACTATCTTTTTAAAAGTAGCTTTTAACTGCCTAGCAGTGGGATTATTGTTACATCCTCCATGTCGTCGAAATGATGAAAAAAGTAACTCGATATGATCCTGATTTATTTTATAGTTAGGCACATATTTTAATAATTTTTAATGTCCGCATAGCTCGTCATATAAACTTAAAGCGCTCTTCATATAAAAAAAAAACCTTTGAAACCTTTGAAACCAGTTTTTCTCTGCGATGTAATAAGTTATTCTCCACATTCAGTTTTTAACAAAGAAATGTATTCCTTGTAATATTTAAGTTTATTTTTAATTAGTTCTATATTAGTAACTGATGCAGCTTTTTTTAAGCCATGTTGTTTAATCTTAAATTCTTTGAGATTAAAATGTCAAACAAATCATTAAATAATAATAAAAATTCAGCAGTTGCTGCACATTTCTTAAATTCTTCTAGTTTTAAGGTATTTTTACAAAATAAAAATGAGTGTGCTAAAGATGTACTGAAAAGTTGAGCAGCCAGACGTACTTTCATTTCTCTCTTTTCTGAAATAATTTATATGACTACTGTTTAACTTATTCCCTAAGCGTAATCCTTCGTTTTCTTGGATAGTATGTAATCTAATATATTCCCATTTTATGATCATTCCATGTATCACCATTTGTACCACCTAGCATTTCCATCATCTCCGCTAGTGTTTTATTTAAAAGTTGCTTGCTCTTTAATAAATGCAAGATTTCTTTTAAAGAAAAGACTTCTTTTTCTTTCCTTCGTAATTTTTGCTGCGTGACTTTCACCTTTTTACTTTTTTATTATTCCAAATATTGTATTCTTTTTCTTAATCTATTTTTTTCTGGAGAATCATAAATCATTTCAGGTGACACCATTGTCCCCTTGTCTGCAGTCAATGGTTTACATGACTCTCTTTCATAAGTATTAGCATTATCATATATATCTATCACCTCTGATTCCACTGCAATAAGAGAAAAGATATTATTTTGTTATGCATGTAATTATGATTATAATAATATTACAAAAATGACTTTTATTTGTTATATTCAAGTATAGGAAGGATTCTTATATAAAGATGTATATAGTAACATACCTTTTATATTTTCCTTATTCACCTCCATATTAACAGAAGTTAAAGGTTCTTGTTCTTTCTGCTGAAATACGGTTATATGTTAATAAGATTGAGCATTTATACTATTTTATAAATACTTGAATATTACTATTTTAAAATACTTGATAAAAAGAATTATCTTTAGTCAGATTTTACTCTTCGCAATGCATTCCGCTTCATTGTACTTATAGAGCCACTGTTAGTAAATGACTCTTTGTCAAAGTGCAAGGAGCAAACGCGGGCTGAATTCGATATTGATTTAATATGTAATATATCAAGCCAACACTTGCGAAGCATATCATCTTTTGGAATACTGTGAAGAATATTTAAAAACAGTCTATTTCTCATTTACAATTCATAATCATTAAAAAGTTATCTTACCTATGAAACGTGATTTTTCTCTCATTTTGCGCGTGTTTTTTTCCAATTTTGGCAGTCCGATCTGCTTTTGCACAAGGAACACAACACTGCACCATTACTTCAACGATTTATGAACAATAAACAATAAGACAATACTTGTTAACCTCCTCACCTGCTCAGACATTAGTGTACACTGACATAGACGCGAAGACGGTACTATATGCGCTTGCGCATAGTAAAAACCAATCAAAACCAGGCACAGTTTTTATCTCGTCCCCCTTTCTCTGTGACTTCATGCTACTGGAATTACCATAGAGATATAAAGCCGACCGCACGAAACGGTGATATATGCTACAAGATAAGTTATATGATACAAGCGACGTGATACATACTTGTATCAACGTTAAACCCAACCCCGATTCCAGGTGAAATGTATTTTTATTTTCACCTGCGTAAATTTATTTCAGTTTGAGACGATACTGTGAATGAAAAAGAAAATCTTTGAAAAGGTGTATTAAATCTGATTAAAATTATGAGTGAACATAATTATTATCAAAATAATAAATCATCTCACAATAGTGAAAATGATGATGAGTTTCTTGACCAAAGTATTAATGATGATGACTTTGACATGGTTTTATTAACTCTTATGAAACAATACCCATGTATATATATGATCCAAACAAGTTAAATCAAGAAAAAATTAATTTAGCTTGGAATAATATATCTGTAGAAATGAATGAAAAAGGTAAAAGAATTATATATTTTTTTTTGT